GCTAAAGAGGGGCCGGCTGGACCGCGCTTTGTCCCATTTTGAATGAACGACGGATAGACGTTGGCACCGAGGATGCAGTCTATCTGTCGAGACTCGAAGAACTGTGGATCGGCTAACTTGAGCCCTCGGATACGAGGCAATTTCAAGATAACCGCATGCTTGTAAGGCAGAGGCTGAGAGAGCTTAGGCAACACTAACGCCAAGACCCAGATCGTTACGTTGGATTCGCCTCAGGGTGCCACCTTGAGTTCAGCTTCGCGGTGTGCTGTAGAAGAAGCGCTCCGGCCTATTCCAACGACCTTGATATTCACGGAACTACAAGGAAGTCCCAGCTCTGAGATCACGTGATGCGTAATGAAGGAGCGCTCGGCCCCAGGGTCAACAAGAGCGCGAATGCGCAGCCGCTTGCCGTTGGGGCCAATAGCGATTAGTTCAGCGGTCGCAAGAAGAATTGTGCGACCAACTAATGCATTGTGCGCAGCAACAGGAAGGCCAGCAGGCTCGTCTGAAGGATTGCCATCCTTGCGAGGGGCGCTAGCGCGCGAGGAAACCTCCTCGTTGCGCGGCTTTGCTATTCTCTCGAAGTGCAACTTCGAGTAATGCTTTGCATCGCAAGTCACACAACGATTGGGAGAGGGGCATTTTTCCACAAAATGCGACGCTCTCAGGCAGTTTACGCAAAGCCTCTCGCGTTTGCATAAATCCCAGCGCTGCGATACCGGCATGGATTTGAAATCGCGGCACCTAGTAACGTAGTGGTTGCCTTTGCAAGCTACGCAGCTCTTTGTTGTTCCGGCTGACTCGTCCGTTGGTGCAGCGTTCGCCGCGACGCGTTTAGAACGATCGCCGTTTTGTTTTGATGCCGAGTTAGCTTTTCCGGCGTCGCTCGACTGCGGGCCGACGTGAGCCTGCTCGAGCGCGTGAATTCGGCGCTCCAGGAAAGTGGTTAAATCTGCGTATGAAGGAAACCCAACCGTCCGTTCCTGCGAAACTTCCCACGCCTCGCGAGACGTTAACTCGAGCTTACGAATGACGCAATGAACAACAAAATAATTAGTTTGCTCGATCGGGCAACCGAGATCTATTAGCGCGCGAACTGATTCCTCCGCACGATCCATCGTTTCGTTAAGATCCGCAACATTGCGAGCTTTAACAGCTGGAAGCTGAATCAAGCTCTCGATACCGTTAAACAAACGTATGCGTAGATTATCATAGCGACGAATAAGCTTTGTCCATGCGACCTCGAAGTTTGCGTCTGTGAGTTCGATACCCTTCAGACGTTGCGCAGCCGCGCCCTGCACAGCATTGAGCAAGTGCTGCAATTTTGCTATCGGCGGGACGGTGGCCTTCGAGACGATAAGCGAAGAAAAGCGCTGCCTGAAACTCTCCCACTCCTCTTGTTTACCCGAGAAAGTGGGCAGAGCAATCCGCGGCAAAGACGCGTATTGCTCCGCAGCATTAGCGTTGATAATAGGTGCGGGAAGTTGACCGGGAAACGGCGCGGGGCCCCTGAGCTCCGAAATTCGCGTCAAGAGGCTATTTTTTCTATACTTCAATAATATACAAACTTCAACTAGGCTTTAAAATATTTTAAAACAAATGGTTAGTATTATTTGGCAAATAATCTTAACCGAGTATGTAATGAATTAAATCTTGGAATTGTATTCGTCAATTGTAACAAATTAAAGGTTATTTTGTGTTTTGACTATGTAAATTATTACATAGTAAATTACTAGTAAATTATTCGGTTGTATAAATAATCATTTACAGGACTAACAAATTTTTATTTTTTTGGGTTTCATAGAGTTTTGGAAATCTGTTCTTTGAAAAGGTTATTTTCAGCCTACAAAATAGTTTTTGTATTTGGCACGCAAAGCCACAATTATCGCAGATATAAGTAGAATGTTATTTTCCTGTATAAAAAAAGTTCTATTCGTTTAAAAAAAAAATAAAAATATTTCATTTGAACAGCAGATTTGACTTGTAAGTGCACCAAACTAGAAAAATTAATGCAAGTAACTTTTTGCAATTCTGACGCACTTTTTGCATAAGTGTCGTGCATACGCACCCCTTTGCACTTCTTGTGCACGTTTGATGCACTTGTGAGTGCGTTCAAGTAAAAAAATTATTGTAAGTAACTTTAGGCACGTCTTGTCCACTTCTTGTGCAAGCATCATGCACATGCGCCTCTGTGCACTTCTTGTGCACGTCTGATGCACTTGCGAGTGCATTCAAGTAACGTTAATTAATGCAAGTAACTTAATACAAATCTTGTGCACTTCTTGGGCAAGTGTCTTGCACCTGTACCTAGCAGCAGATTCATGTAATTCTGCGGAAGCAGACCGAGCATCGTCTTATGCAATTTATTTACTAAACGAAACTTTGCGTAAGAATTGCATAAGAATTGCATTAACTGTGCTACCAGGGGAGTTTGGTCATTGGAGGCCACAATGCCACATTCAAGAGGGAAAGAGGAAGTTCTTTGCATGCAACAAGATCCATGAACAAGAGCACATTTATGAAGTTCTGAGGCATATGAGGTATGGAAGAAAAACAGATCTAACAATTTTAATAATTATAAAGGGAGCGGTAGAGGAATGTCTAGGGGAAGAGGAAGATGGAGGGGTAGTTTTAACAATAGTAAAAAAAGATAATCAAACGGTGGCGCTAGGGGCACAGAGAGTAATATAAGTGGTAGTGTTCTGAAAAGAGGAAGAGGAGGGTACAGCAGTAAAATATTTTACGTAGCACTAACAGCAGCACCTTTTTAATGCTGCATTTTAACTTGAAACAATATTTAATGAATTTTATAAGTGTTATTTATCTGATGAGTTAATGATTTTCTTAAAAACTGCAAGAAAGGTTCAAAACAAGTTAAATACAGAGCAAGTGATTCCATGGCCCAATTTACTTCGTCTTGTTAAAACGAGAACGTATATTCGCGTGAAAGAATTGAATCGAGGGAGAAGAGAGGTGAGCAAAAAAATTAGTTTAACAGCAAGATCTCATTAAAATACAAAGTTTTATAAGATATCGCTTTTAACTTCATTTCTTTTATCGATGTACATACGTAATTAAATATTGAAAATAATACATTTTAATTATGTATTTAAAATAAAATAAAATATATTTTATTTATTTTTGATTACTGTATTCAACAATTTTATTCTTAGTTGGTCTCATATTTTTAAGTCGTTGACGCAGAGTTATTATCGGTCTATAAATCAATATGGCGTCGTTTTAGAAGTGCTTCTGATTGGTCGTGCGTCGTGCACACCTAATGTTCATAACATAATGCTCTGAACGACCATCAAAAAGGAATGCAAAGTGTAAAAACTCTTCACTATTCGCTCCGAGCCAAAGCAGAGGCTGCGCCCTCTGTATCAGATGTTGGAAAAAAGTTCTTGCATAAAGACAAAAGCCTTATATCGTGTGGCTGCTTGTGACTGGCATACTAGAGAGAGAACGATGATACCCTCCTGCAGTCTCTTTCAGTGAGCTTGCCAATCACAAGCACCTATAAGGTAAAGGCACCTATTATGAGCCACTTACTCACTACCTTTTTGGAATCATGGTCATTGTAAAATAATAATACGTTTTCTTTTAATACTTCCGATACCTTCTTGAAGCGCTAGACTTATCAAATGTGTACCAATAGTAATAATTGTGAAAAAGGGTGTTAAAAAGATTAAAATTCAGAAAATGTCCACATCCTTTTTTGTATGTATTATGGGCCTCTAATTTATTTATGTCACTTTGGCCCATAATCTTTGTCTACATTATGGGCCACTTTTAAAAGTTATTACACACAAATAAATCACACTTATTTTTTATTCCTTGTGATATTTAAAATATCACAAGGCTCGCCACTCTTCTCTGTTTTAGAATTATTCAGAGTCATCACTTTGCTAGCGAGCTGGAGAGGTTGAAGCGTGACAGCTCTGTCTCCGCTCGCAGCCCTCTCCGTCGGCTGTCGCCTTTCATTGACGATAACGGAGTCATTCGAGTCGGCGGCCGCCTCGATCATTCAGCGCTTCCGTACAGCGAGAGGCACCCGGTCATCCTGCCGAAAAGTTGCACGATCGTCAGGAGACTCGTCGAAGACACTCACCAGCGGACCCTTCATGGCGGGGTCCAATTGATGCTGTCGCACTTGCGTCGCTCCGTTTGGATTTTACGGGGCCAGCGCCTACACGGAAAGACCTTTTTAATTTAAAATCCCCTACTTCAATATTTGATCACAAGAAGTACTAGACCAACGTTATATTTATTGCTTACTTACACAGAAATTTTTAGTCTCACCTTTAGTGATCTTAAATTATCTACTGAGTATACTGATTTTAGGACATCAGTACGACTATTTATTGGTGGTGGTACGGTTTTTTCCCTTACCATCAGTAGCCGTGAAAAGTAGATGCACCCAGTCAGTGTATACGACGTACTATAGTGCGCAGAGCAGTACTTATTATATATTTTTAAATGCATACATACATGCGCGCGTGCGCACACACACACACACACGCGCGCGCGCGAGCGCATACGTGTGTGTGTATAGTAAGCCTCTTAAAATCTGACACTGATATATATACTTGGAGAGTAAATATACAGTATACCTAACAGTACAATAACATAACCTAATACTAACGTATTTGAGTGTAGGTTTTAAGTAGACCTGGTACGGGAAAAATCCTTACCAAGCTATGACAAACACATAACTTCATGTGGTAGAGGATTTTTAGTGAGACAATAGAAAGAAAATACCGTACCTAGCATTAATATAATCTTATTTGCCAGTAGAAGAAGACTTCACATGTCCAACATTTTCGAGCGTAGGTTTTAGACGGACCTGGTACGGGAAAAAACCTTACCAAGCTATTAAAAACTCGTAACTGAATGTAGTAGGGGATTTTCAATGAAAAAGGTCTTTCCGTGTAGCGGTCGGAGTACTCCACCGCTGTGTTAAGTGCACGCGCCACGCTGCACGGAGCCCTAGCCAACTCATGGGCCAACTGCCGACTGCACAAGTCTCCCCGTCTCGTCCGTTCTCGCACACGGGTGTGGACTTCACTGGACCGATCCCCGTCCTGTTTTCAAGAGGACGAGGCGCCAAAACAACCAAAGGCTACATCGCCGTCTTTATTTGCACTGTCACACGGGCAGTTCACCTCGAGGTAGCCTCTGACCTTTCAACCCATGCTTTTCTTGCAGCCTACTCTCGTTTCACTGCACCCCGTGGAGTTTGCGCTGTGCTGTACTCGGACAACGCCACGAACTTCAAAGGCGCAGCTTCCGAGCTTCAGCGCATGCTGGCCAGCTCTTCATTTGCTTCAAACATCTCCGAGAAGCTGGCAGCTCAAGGGACGGACTGGTCCTTCATCCCCCCTCGAGCTCCTCATTTTGGCGGGCTTTAGGAAGCCGCCGTCCGAAGCGCAAAGCATCACCTCAAGCGCGTGATCGGCGAGACAAGGCTCACCTTCGAAGAACTGTCGACGTTGTGCACCAAAATTGAGGCCTGCCTCAACGCAAGGCCACTGTGCGCCTTGAGCAATGAAGTTACAGGCGAGCTCGCCCTCAGTCCAGCACATTTCCTGGTCGGCTCTGCGCTGCTCTCTCACCCCGAGCGATATGACGAAGCGCAGAGGCCAATGTCACCTTCCAACCGTTGGAAGCTACTTGTCGACCTTCATAACTCATTTTGGTCCAGCTGGAGAAAGGAGGTCCTGCATCAGCATCTTAAGCGATGCAAGTGGCAGACTCCTCGAACGAATTTACAAGAAGGAGACGTCGTTCTCGTGCGTGATGAACTCGCGCCCCCAGCCACCTGGCCCTTGGATGTGGTAATTGCCACGCAGGCCGGGGCGGATAACCTTGTGCGCGTAGCCACGGTGAAGACGGCTGCCTCGACGCTTCCGCGACCAATTGGGAAGCTTGTTAAACTGTTAACTCAACCCGAACTCGAGAAGTGCTATTCCGAGCAATCAAAATAAACTCAGTGCTAATCAGTAGTTTGTTCACTTACTGACCCATTAATTAATTTGAGTTTCTGTTTGTTTTTTTTTTTTTTTTTCAATTGCGAAATTTGTAAATCCTTCATGTTCATGTCAGCTCGTGGCCAGGGTAAGCTACTAACACTATTGTATAGCTGCGCTAGCTCTCGCCGTAGCAGTAGGTTTAGCTCTATCCACTTACAGGCTTTTTTTCTATCTCGCTTTTTTCAATTCATTTTGACGCGGTTGCCTCAAGGTGGGCGGTATGTTCGCGTATGTGTGTATACGCTTATTGAGAGCGAGAAAGAGAGAGACGAAGGCCTCGTGGCACCGCAACCTGGGGGGGTCTCTCCCAAAAGGGCCCCCCTCCCTTAATTGTCGCCGCGTTGTCCAGTCTCTCTAGACAAACCGCGAACGAGTCAGTTGCAATCGAAGAGCGTTAGAACGAGCGTGACTTAAGTACTCGTCTGCTTCGATCGGCATGTTTTTGTTTTTCTCGCACTGACCAAGCGACGCACGCTGGCCAAGGAGAGCCATCCCCTCTCTCCTTCGTCTGAGCACAGTCCATAATTTCAATTGATTTAATTATTAGCGTCATTTTTTCGGTCTTCTTTCCTGATTCGCCTTCATCTTCATATTTGCTGTAAAGAAAAAATACAAGTTGTTTCCTATCATCGAAGTGCTCGTGTTGAGCGTTTTATTTTTTCCCTACTCTCTACAGGCATTAGTCAACGATAACGGGTACGTTTCCCCCCCGCGACCTTAATATCGGTCCATCGCGACCTAGAGGCTCGAAACGAAACAGCACGTAACGAATGGTAACTTATAGAGTGCAACTTACTTCATATGCGTTTTACACAATTCTTGCACACGTGCCCCTTAGCACTTCTTGTGGACGTTTACTGCACTTGTGAGTGCGTTAAAGTGAAAAAATTAATGCAAGTAACTTTATGCAAATCTTGTGCACGTTTGATGCACTTGCGAGTGCATTAAAGTACTATACATTAGTGCAAGTAACTGAACATACGTCTGACGAACTTCTTGCGCAAGCGCTGTAAGCACGCGCCTCTGTGCACTTATTTTGCACGTCTGATGCACTTGCAAGTGCACTAAAATGAAAAAATTAATGCAAGCAACTTTATGCAAGGCTGATGCACTTCTTGCGCAAGTGTCGTGCGTACGCGCCGCTTTGCACTTCTTGTGTACGTTTGATGCTCTTGTGAGTGCGTTAAAGTAAAAAAATTATTGTAAGTAACTTTATGCAAGTTTTGTGCACTTTTTGTGCAAGCATCGTGCACATGCATCTCTGTGCACTTCTTGTTCACGTCTGATGCTTTTGCGAGTGCACTAGAATGAAAAAATTAGGTCAAGCAACTTTATGCAAGTCTGAGGCACCTCTTGCGCAAGTGTCGTGCACATGCGTCTCTGTGCACTTCTTGTGCATGTCTGATGCACTTGAGAGTGCGTTAAAGTGAAAAAATTAATGCAAGTTACTTTATGCAAGTCTTGTGCACTTCTTGTACAAGCATCTTGCGCCCGAATCTTGCAGCAGATTGATGTATATCTGCGGAAGCAGACCGAGCATCGTCTTATGCAATTTACTTATGCATGTTTGTGCTACCAGGGTCACCACACCGCTGGTATCGGTTGTTTGGGTCATTTAAAGTATCTCCTCTTTGCCTCTGTGTTTGCTGCAAGGTGGCCATATAAGCTCTTCCCTCTTGACTCATTGCCTTATTGGCTCTCTGTTAAAAAAACCATGTTATTTTACCTCATGGTAAAATACGTGGTTTTACTATACGGTTTTTAGTCATTTACCACATGGTATTGTATCAAATAACCATATATTCTTTAAAAACCATAAAGTTTTTTGAAAAATTATGTGGATTTTTAAAACCATGAGATTATTTGAGAGAAAACCATGTGGTTAATGACTAAAAACCATATGGTAAAACCACGTATTTTACCATGTGGTAAAATCACATGGTTTTTCTCTACAGAGCTCTTTTCTGTGCTTCAAGCTGTAATAAAAAGTCTCCCATTTCTCCTGTTTCTATTTCTCTTTGATTGTTGAAATAAGATACTGTTATTAATAATAGGGCGCTAAATGAGACTGGGAAGGGTCGGACATAAGGGTAATTAACTAGAAGCGTTTTAGTTAATTACAGGTGCAAGTTTATTAGGGCGAACTACTATCAGCTCATGTTACAGGCAAGCACGATAGAACTGAACACGTCGTGCGAGTCGTAGAGCTGATTCTTATAAACAAACTATAGATGTGATAGGTGTGCGCATGACAAGTCGGCAGACTATATATATATTAAACGTATTCAGCATATGTGAGTGTACAACCACTCTTAACATTAAATTTGTTGATTGCACAATTATATATATAATTACAACAGATACTATGGACAGTAATATTTGGCATTACAGATTATTACTAACTGCTTGAAGGAATGTAGAACATTTCTCCAAGTCCGTGAAAGGTATTGCTTAACTACTACACTCGTATTCTCTAATTATATTATTAAAACTTGCGAAAAAATTCTGCTACGATCACATTTTTTCTCTTCAGTAATTCGTAAAGCCTCTTTCTGACTGCCATGTGATTCACGTTATTTTCAATCCTTATTGCTTCTTTTATTTGTTCTAAAAATTTTTTTGGTTCTTTAATATTTATAATCAGTTTGTGACAAGTAGCATCAATGTGGTTAATAATTATTTCCCTTACAATTATTTTCCTCTTACTTCTTTCAATCTCATCAATGTTTAAAGATAATTTTACCATCGGGTCAATTACATCAATTAATTCCTTATAACCTAATTCCCGGTTTTAATTTATCATACCAAATGTTAAAATCAGATTTACGGTTCAAATTATAATTTCTCTAAACATAATTACTTTTATTTTGAAATAAATAAAGAACGAGTTTATAAGTAAATCTTCAGAATTTATTACTAAATATGGGTGTTACAATATTTTTGGTACGCTGTACCTTCCTCAGACACAGAGGTTTATAAACAATTGTAACACCCGTAATCAATGATAAATTGTGAAGAATTAATTATAAACTCGTTCTTTATTTATTTTAAAATGGATTTAAATTTTCATCAAGGGACGACCGAAACTATTACATATAACTATTTTTGTTCGTTTCAATTGAATTTTTTAATATACTCAAGGTTTCGTATAATGTGTTAGAAATTTCATAATTCAACGTTCAGTAATTGGAGGAGCTTATTAAAGATGAATCTATATCTGGAGGTCCCAAATTATCATTGGTGGTCGAAAAATTATGTCAGGATTTACCTGAATTTTAATAGCATTGAGCTTTCTTGTGCGGCTTTCTAGTGCGGACCTTAGAGCTTTGTTCCCTTGCTTGGTTATTTTTAGCAGGTGCTCTCTTTCTCTCTTGCTCTTTCAGAACTTCTTTTAGCTTATTTTCTTCATCCCTTTTTTTGCGTTTTTTTGCAACTTTTTGGCTTCCTCCGCTTTTCTCTTGGCTTCTCTTAATTCCTTGTCTCTTTTCATTATTTCCTTGAAATTTTTCCACTCGTTCCTCTTCGTCACTCTTTCTCTTGCGTGCTCTTCCAGCATCTCTCTGAGCTTCTTATATTCCATAGATGCTATAGGGTTGCCAATCATCGCTCTTCGTTTCAGCTGATTGAGTATCTCTTTTTCACGAAGCAGTTTATATTGTAGACTTCTAAAGTCTCTGACACCTCAAGCCTCATTTACAACAATCTCATCGAACGTAACATTGAATACTAAGTGCCTTTTATTTTTTAGGTTTTTTTCAACTACAAAAGAGACATGCTTTAAAATTTCTTGGCTTATACCAGGCTTATATCTTGTCGATGACTCCCAAGCATTTAGTCTTTCAATGCACGGCAAACACTCAAAAAAAATGTTCCTTGCCATCTGATACGTCGCAGGTGAATGGAAGTGCAGACCTCTTGCAAAATTTTTCAAAGTTTTTATAAAATTTCTCTATGGCAACAGCCAATCAGGGAAGAGAGAAGAGAGAGATGGAAGACCCACACAACATTTTTCCTTTTTACGCTGTTATGCTCCTACAGCCAGCTCTCCTGCTCTATTATATTATCTCTATACGTGCACAACCTGCTGATTAACAACGTCTCTCTAGAAATAAGTTTTAAAACATTGTAAACGAAAATTATTGAGAAGTACCTTTATGAAGCGTTTTGAATTATGATTTCACATTTATTTAAAATATTTTTAATAAATTTAACAAGTAATTTTTCCATTTTCTTCAACATACTATTAGTGAGTTTATTTGTACTTGTAATCAATGTTCATAATTATATGTACATCTTTGGTTTAACAGGCTACAGTTGGAACTTATAGTTTTTACTACTTATAAATGTCAAAGTATGTGTAGAAACTGTTCCTTTTATCCTGGCAAATTCGTATGCGTACAACTATTCAGCAAAAAGTTATTGATTCAGAATCTACTGAGCCATAAAACTTAAAAGAGGATTAACATACCTTTTATGGAGACTTTTTCTTTAAATTTTGAATAGAAAATTTGTTGGCAATTGTGTACGTTTTTTTATTAATTTCTCAAGTTCTTTAAATGAAAATATGATTTTTTGTTCAAAGTTATAATTTATCAATTTTACATCCAACACATGTTAGTTTTACACTTTGGAATTGGGATCGAACTTAATATATATATGCTTGTAGTAAGAAAAGCTAGTAACTGTAAGGTAGAAATTCATTTGATTTACTCTGTGAGAAAGATTATTACCTTAAACCCATTACTCAAGTCGCAAATTGATTTGGTTTGGCTTTCATGTAACTTTAGCAGTAAAGCATCTAAATTTTTTATCAACATTAACATGAAGCTGAAACTAGCAGACAAATTATAGCAGCGATACTGTGAAATGACAAATTCTACCTTCAGTACCCTTAAAACTAAAGTAGATATCACCTTCTATTTAACTAAGTTGGAAAGGTATCTGGTATAGTTTTAAGGGTACCCCAAGTAGAATTTGTTATTTGACGGTATCACTGTTGGAATTTGTCTGCTAGTTTCAGCTTCATAATTTAACCTTAACAAGTGTCAGCAAGGTAAAATTTAACTTGTACAGCCAATAAAACCTCCAAATACTTGAGTGGCAGCTGAACTTTTCTCAATTGCGACACAAAAAAGTAGTAGCTATGGGAATGCTGTTGTTTGAGTTTATGAAAGAATAATATAAAACTGTACAGGCAGAACAATAAAAAAACAATTGTTAAAAAAATCTGGTTGTCACTAGTAAAAAGAAAATCTCTATTTTTTTCTAAAAATAACACAGCACCTGAATCAAACTACGTATAGCTGTGTTAATGGCATAACTGTTGTAATAACGCACCTGTGATGTGCAGTCTCGTTTAATTGAAACCAATGCTACTGTGTTGCAAGACACTCGCGTGTCACATCATAATGAACAGCTTCCATAATTACATTTTAAATGTAATGAAAATATGTATATTAATAGACTAACATATCTAATTGTATGTAAAAGGGTATCTCACTTTTTCTTTCAAAATTATTAAATGATTCAGTACTTCGGTGGTGGCAAGATGATGTCAAAAAGCTGAGGCTGAGGCCCAAGGGTTGTAAGTATTTTTTTTTTTTGTTCAATCGTGACATTCGATATATGCGCAATACTATCGATTGCTTGAGAACTCGTCGTCATCACTTGAAAGAAAGAATAATTAGTCTAACGGAGCATATGTTAATTTACTTGGCGAAAAGTAGGATTTGAGACTTTTCAAAGTTCATACGGACATAAGTACAACTCTTACAACGCAAATTATACTTTATTACACTCAAGTGCTGACGACAAGTTTTTGAATAATCGATAAGGTATGGCATGTAGTCAGAGCAATGACGCGTTAATCATCTTAAAAATGTAAACCGTATGGCGTTTGGTTTTAATGTTCTTTGCATTATTTAAAAACTTTTGTAAACTATAACATATGCTCCGTAATCTGCAGGAACCGAGATATGGATCGATAAAAAACTCGATTTTTTTCACTTGTAAACTAAACAAAACAAGGGGTTATTAAAATTTTATGTACGATTTGTGTGCCAAAATTTTTTTGCCATACGAAATGCTTAGGCGACTTTTGGATAGTAAATTGAAAAAAAAAAAAAAAAAAAAATTTATCACCTGTAAACTGCTTCAAATTTCTAGCAGTTATTATTTACCATCTAATTATTGCGCAAGAAAATTCCCATGCGTTTTTATTGGGCCGATTTTTAGAAATTAATTGTTTAAGCTTTCGAAAAATTACAATTTCGTAGTTTTGTAAAAAAATCCTGCAAAAAATATATAATCAATTGGTGATAAATTTTTTTTTCTTTTTTTTTTAATTCACAATCCAAAATCTGCCGGGACATTTTGTATGGCAAAAAAATTTTGGCATACTAAACGTACATAAAGTTTTAATAAGCCCTTGTTTTGTTTAGTTTACAAGTGAAAAAAAATCGTGTTTTTTATCGATCCATATCTCTGTTCCTGCAGATTTCGGAGCAAAGGTTAAAATGTACGAAAGTTTGGAAATAATTCTAAGAACATTGAAACCAAACGCCATGCGGTTTACATTTTTGAGATAATTGACGCGTCATTGCTCTGACTAATTGGGATTTGAACTTTAGCCATCAGCGCTACGCTCAAGCTACTTTGGTAAGCTTAGAGAAAAGGCTGTGACGGCTGTCACATAAAGTAATCACATCAGCACTTAATTTTTTTTTTACTTCTGAAAGTATTATAAAGCTGATGTTTTGTAGATGTTTACACAATTAATTGTAACCATATGACTATTTAAAAAGAAAAAGCAGAGTGGTCTCTCAGAAAACCCCGTATTTATTTTTGAGGGTTGTTCTAGTCGACCCATATACAACCAAAATTTATCATTCTATCGCTGCTAAAAAAAATCAGCTGATTTGTCAGCTGATTTCTGATGCCAAATCGTCAGCTGATTTTTTGACTGCGAAAAAATACAAGTCCCATCAGTGTGAAAAAATACAAGTTCCGAGGAAAAATTTTTTTTTTTGGCCGTCATCAAAACTATGCATTCTGGGACTTATACAGTAGAATGAGATAGGTGACCATTATGAGTTTAAAAAATTTTTCAATAGCTAAAACTGCAAGTTCCGTGCGCTGAAAAAGTATTGAATATTCTTCGATAGCCAAAATTACAAGTTCCGTGCGCTGAAAACATATTGAAAATTTTTCGATAGCCAAAATGACAAGTTTCGTATACGCTAAAAAAGTCCCGTCAGTGCGACGAAAAAAATTTCTTTTGCCATCATCGAACAATACGTTTTGGGATATTTACAGTAAAATAAGATAAGTGAAATTTAAGAGGTTTGCAAAATTTTCGATAGCACAAATTACAAGTTCCGTGCACTGAAAAAAGTTGAAGGTAGTTATATCCCAAATAAAAAAAACGATGAGATATTCATAAAACTTACCACACAGCTGAATTATTGCCTATTAAGAACTTGGTTAAATTTTTGTAAGGTTAGGATTCCTAGAAAGCAAAATTTTAATATTCACTGTTTTCATAGTTTAACATGGATTTAACACGGAGAAATGTATTTTCTGGGTTTAAATTGCGTATATCCCACAAAATAATGATAAACTCTTGACGACCCGTCGGAAACATTTTTTTTGTCCATCCAAACAATGCGTTTTGGGGCATTTACAGTCAAATGAAATAGGTGAAAATTGAGAGGTTTGGAAAATTTTTGATAGCAAAAATTACAAGTTTCGTGCGCTAAAAAAAGTTTAAGTCACTTCAGTGCCAAAAAATACAAGTTCCAAAGAAAAAAAAAATGCATTTAGGAACATCAAAAGTCTGTTTTTTGGGACATTTACAACAAAATGTGACAGGTGAAAATTTTTTAAACCCCTCAATTTTCACCCATCTCATTTTACTATGAATGTCCCAAAACGCATTGTTTGGATGATGGCAAAAGAAAAAAAAATTTCGTCAGGACTTGTATTGTGTCACACTGACGGGACTTATACTTTGTCAGAGCACAGAACTTGTAATTTTGGCTATCAAAAATTTTTTCAACTCACAATCGTCACCTGACTCATTCTACGGTAAAAGTCCCAGAATGCGTAGTTTTGATGATGGCCAAAAAAAAATTTTCCCACGGGACTTGTATTTTTTTACACTGATGGGACTTGTATTTTTCCGCAGTCAAAAAATCAGCTGACGATTTGGCATAAGAAATCAGCTGATTTATCAGCTGACAAATCAAATGATTATTTTTAGCATGCTTTTTTGGGTGATAAAAAATATAAGTATATTATAGTTGTTGGAAAACGTGGACTAAGGCCATTAGTATAAAAAAATGTGAGCAAAATTATTATGCAGGTATGTTCCATATTATTTTGAAAACAAGATTTTTTCACAGACTCTCATAGCAGTGAGTGAATTGTTTGATTTATATATTTAAAAAATCGATATCTTCAATCCACTCGTTTGTAAACATAATGCTATAATGTTTAAAAATGCATTGTCATTTCTCAGTCAAAAATTATTAGCTATTATTTTAACTATAAATTATAGCTGTATTTACAGCTATATTCAGCTACTATAAAAGCTTTAATTGACTACAGAGTAGCTATAATCATGTACAAATAATAACTATAAAAAGTAGCTGTTTACAGCTATAAATTTCTAGCAAATTTTAATTAACAGAATTTATTGAATAATCTTTTTTTTTGTAACACTTTTAGTGTTATTATACGTATAATATCACCCTATATGGCTGATATACCTAACAAAAAAAAAAGATTATTGAATAAATTCTGTTAATTAAAATTCGCTAGAAATTTATAGCTGTAAACAGCTACTTTTTATAGTTGTTATTTGCACATGATTATAGCTACTTTGTAGTCAATTAAAGCTATTATTGTAGCTGATTATAGCTGTAAATACAGCTATAATTTATAGTTAAAATAATAGCTAATAATATAATTTTTGACTGAGTTGACACTCTTCCACATATAATAATATGCCCTGCATGAAGAATTCTTTCTCCATCAATAAAATTTCTGCTTGACGGGGAAGAGTTTCCAAATAAACATATACCTACTTCTTCAAGTTTGAGATACATGTTTTTGATTTTATAATGACAAGGCTATTTTAATTTCATCGTACGCTGCTTAGGATAGGAATAATTACAAAACTTCCTTGTAAACATGTATACATCTAACAAAACAATAAATATTTATCAAAATAATTAATATAATTTAATATTTACTTTTTATAACAAATGTTTACATACACCTATTTCAGAGGATATATAATATACTCTTCTTGCATGGAAGGCCAGATCGGCCGTTTTCGCGTCCGCAGTATTTTCTCTTTATATTTTGATTATGCCCCCCATAAGGCAGGCAGCGTTAGTGTCGGGAGGCAACTGGGTAACTTATAGATGCCGATAACTATTACCTTCCGAGCAGCACGGCAAAATACCTGATTATTAATATCCTATATTTATTACTGATTTTTGATGCGAAACTACTAAAAAACACGTCCAAACTACAATTAATTGAGAAAATATCGGTAATGAAACTATAAAAAAAAGTTTTACATTAATTTTTCTCAACATGCATATCAAAAGCTTATGCAGGGGCACCTTACAAGATTCCACAAAATCTCCTAGCAGATCTGTATAGTCGTCGGTTCAGAGGTAGAACTTTTGCTTTCAAACCCAAAGTTCTAGGGTTCAATGCTCTTTGTCTAACTTTTTTTTACTTTTTTTATTTACTACTTTAATTTTTAATGAAGCGTAAAAAAATTTTCTGCTCTGCGTTAACGTCAATATAAGTTTGAAGGTGATACATCAGTACAACCATTAAAAATATGAGACAAAACTGTTTAATAAATTTTTTTTCCTAGCTCATATTGAGATTATTTATTTAAAATAATTAAGCGTCGTTAAAGATTAACACATACGTAAGTAATACACCCAACTTGTTACATTAAACGAATCTGATGTTTCTGTTTGTAATCTTTCTAAAGGAGACGAAAGGAGAAAGGCCAACACAAAATGATGGATATGATTGAACACAGACTTTATTATAGCACTCAGATTACAATTAACGAGAGACGGCGGAACACACTTGAGATGTTCTCACGTGAGGCACTTAACGCGGTCTGACCTGTGACGCCTCGTTACATCGATAGATGACTGCAGAGCAGTTTAACCTAAGTACTACATATATGTCGACAGGTGGCGCTCGCATTACGTACACGACGCTATTACATATCGGACACTGTTTATAAGTAAATCAAATCAATGTTTTAAGGGTCCATGTCAGGATCACTTTCAAATTCTGCAATCACATCTGCATTTAAATCTTCGTCTTTTTTGTAGGTGGCATCTTGTTCTTCATTGTCTATTGGTACTACTATTAAAAAAAAAAATATTTATAAATATATATTAAATTTTTCAACGTTAAAAAGTAACGTTTTTATAAATGTTTAAATAACAAACTATTATAAGAATTATAGTTTATATTAATATGAATCACAACTCCTTGATTTGGTGATCGCTGAACAATTTTAAGTTGGCGCCGCAAACTCTTTTTTAAACTTTTAAGTGCCATTTTCATCAGATGATTAGAAGTATCCTTCGTGAT